AAAAATGTATAAATCCATCTCTACAACAGCTCCACTGCAGAAATCCGGCAAGCCAACATAGCACAGCATTCATGACTCCCACTAGCTCAATATGGTTTCCCTGACCCATGTGCTATGACCACACCATTGCTGGAGTTCCCAAAAAATGCCATAGGCATGAGAGAAAAAAATGCATGCTTCAACTGTGGCAAGCCTGATCACTGATTGCAGGAATGCCAATATATCATTGTCAGACAGGATCAGTGGACACACACACACACACACCTTTCAGGCCAACACTACAACAAATGCAGGAAGGCTAGCAATGAGCAATGGATACGGGAACATCTATTAGTTCAAATTAGTAGAGCCTGGGTTGAATCTGGTCACAAACTCAGGAGAATGCAGCATTCAGTTTGAAATTAAAGTTGCGGTTGCTGTTCCAGAGAACTATTGCTAAGAATTCCATGGTACATGCTGATAATGATAAATGGGTACAAGGTTGAGTTGTCAGTCGACACTGGAGCAACCAGAACCTTAATCAGAACCTAGCAATGTATTAGGCACTCCATGTTAAGACATCACTTTCGGCATATGGTGAAAAGCTAGAAGTAAGAGAAGAGGTGCATCTCTGACTTTGTCTTGGTGATGTTACACAATGAATGAAGGAGTTTCTCTCCAATCTGAGTTAAGGTACTGGTATCTTAGGGATGCATCTGCTGCAGAAATTGTGATTGTGTAAAAGGCTAGCTAAGTTTCTTCAACAAAGCCATCAAGTGGCTACTAATTTGGGTCATAGCATAGTTGACTGCTTATGTGCATCTGGAAAAGGATGTGGTAGATCATTTAATGTACAAGTAGTATTCAGTGGTATAATGTAGATGCAACGTAGTGCGTCGCTACCTTTTACTATTGTGATAGAATCAATGTATGACACACTGTTTTCTGTCTAGAAACCAAGCTCCACAGGCTCGAATAGTGATATGTCCAAGCAATAGCGTTCTACCAATGCTAGTCTATAATCATGGCTATTCATATTCAAGTTGGAATACTCATAAGCATGGTAACAGAGGGAAAAATGATACAGACGAATTATATTGATGGTGTTCCAAAGACTGTATCATGCATGAGAGGGAACAAATAAATCCTAGAATGCCCGAAGTGCAAACAAATAGAACTATACACAGAGACAGGAACTCGGCAAATTGTTTATAGAGTTTGCTGATGTGTTTGTGAGACCACACGACCAACTGGGTTAGACAACAGTAACACATCATCACATAGATATAGGTGATGTGCATCTGATAAAACAACTGCTACACAGACTTCCTTGGAGCATCAGGGATATGGCTAGCGATGAAACTGAGTGAAATGTTAAAAGATGAAGTAAACAGCTTTAAAATTAAGAAAGAGTATGGAAGGAGCATTAAAGTTCTTTGTGAACATCAGATGGGTGATGTCTCTCCTTTACCACATATATATATATGGATGTTTAGATGTATTGGAAGGTGCCCATTGGTTCAGCACACTAGATCTGGCTTCTGAATATTGTCAAGTGAAACTGAAAGAATAAAAGTATACTTAATAGTGTTTTCATAACTTGAGAAGGACTGTATAAATACTATTGTATCGTGCCTTTAAGTTTGTATAATGCCCTCACAAATTTTTAATGGCTTAGTGAATTTATACTAAGAGGACTTTAATATCTTTCGTTGCACATTTGTAGACAGAAATGAGAACCTGAGAATGGTATTCCAGAGCATCAAGGATGCAAAACTTGAAAAATGGCATCAGAAAAGTGGATGTTTATGTTTATATATACATACTATTCTCTATTAGGTAGTTGTGTGATAGTGTCCACTAATCCTGGAAAGATTGCAGGTACGTAGCTTCTAAGAAATGCCACACTTGCAGCTTTATAGGTTTGATGTTACATTATTGTTGGTTTGTGGTCAATTTGTCCAAATAAGCCACATCAAAGTCTGTGTTATGGTTGATGCACACTTTCTATATCCAGGATGTGAGGATACATTCTGACTCTTGAAGTTCAACTTGGTCAGAGCACCAGAAATGGTTGATCCTTATCAAGATTGTTTATTCATCTTGGATACACATGCCAGTGGTTATAGAATTGGAGTGTTTAGTCACAAGTACAAGATGGGGTAGAGCACGTGATTGCATATACCAGTCAAATGCAGAATGCTCTTGAATGCTGATGCTGCAAGACAAAGAAAGAACTGCTTCCAGCTGTAGCATTTATCAAGCATTATCACTATTATTTATATTATAGTGAGTTCATCATTAAATGAAATGGGTTATGAACTTCAAATCTTAGAAGGTATGATTGCACATTGGATAACCACACTGCGAGAGTACAAATTTGTTGAACAACACTGATTAGGTCATAAGCATGGAAAGATTAACTGATTACTTTACCAACCTCTAAGATCATGTTCATTTGCAGAATATTCAGATCCTGGACAAAATGCAGCAGCTAAAATTATAGTAGTTACAGTGGTAGCAAACCACATGAGAAGTGATGATTCTGCATTTGAATAAACATTCCAGCTGACTAGCTGGCAACTTTGGAAAAAGCAAGTGAAGGGTCTGGAAGTAGCTTGGGTACTACTCGTCAAACAACAAGGCAAATGTAGTACTAATACAAATAAAATATGGCAATTGAACCGTCAGTGAAGAATGCAATACAGTGTACTGTACTGTTGTTATGAGCCAGTCAGAACCTGTGATGCATCAAATGATCATCAAGGTTCCAAGGTAGGATATTATTCAGGCTTTGCATAATGTGTTTCCAACTATTGCCAATGTGAAAGCTGTCTCCCTGGCCATATTCACATAAAAGCTTTAAGAAATGTTGTATAAACTGTACTCACTACACTGGCCAGAAGAAAAAACACCATGTCAGGAAAACTGAGTGATAGCTTCTCTTTTGGAGAGAATTACATTAGACGTAGGTGGTTTTTTGTCCAACATTGGTAAAAAAAAAGTAATCAATATGTGTTGGTCTTTATTGATTACTTCACCAAGTGATATGGTGCTTATACATTAGCTGACATGCTAGTACAGTATGTTACATATATGTTGGCTGGAAAATGGATTTCACACTTTGACGTGCCCAGAGAGATATACATGGATCAAAGAGCTACTTTCAACAGCCAGTTGTTTGCAGAAAGCTTCCTTTAAAAATGTTCTCATACACTATGGCATCTATGAATTGTTCATGTACTACAGCAATCCATCACTTCAAGTGAAGCATCTGAGTAAGATTATTAAGTAAGCTTTTCCACATCTGCAATTCAGCTAAGGTATCATCTTTCCCCCTCACTCTGCTCCTAAATTTTGGTTTGGGAATTTCTTCTGATTTGACATTCCAAATCTGTTTGATATGGTAACTACCAATGTCTGATAGAATCATAATTTGACAAATTTAGAACCCAAGGCAGCTCATAATATTTGCGCCCAATTGTGAGTGTTATGGCAAGCCATTTTGATGATTTTGCCACCTCTCACTACTTTGGGCTTGGGGAAGCTGACACTCTCGCCCACCTAGTTACAGCTCTGTTGTAGTCATAGATTATACAGTAGTAGTCGTGACAGATGAATTTTCCTGTTTCATATTTCGCAGTGTGGTGTTGAAATTTGGGGGCAAATACAGAGAGAGGTGTATCTCGGTTGATCTTTGAAACTACCAATTTAATATCTAAATATCTTCTGTTAGAGTTGATATCATTTTATAAATTTCCTACGGTTTTTTTCAGTCTTGATTAGAGGCTGCAATCCTTGGATTACACACAATAATGGGGTTTCAAAAATCCCAGGATTTTCAAAACTGTGTTAATCCTTTATGGATCAAAAGAATGTCACTGATATCATCTGTTTTTTCTTTTTCTCACCAAGGTGACACGCAACCAATATACATGAAATTCTTTACCCATTATAATTCTTCTTTACTTACTATTTTTCTTCAGTGGTGTCCTTTTGTACTTCTTCAATTTTGCCATTTCTGTTTTTTTTGTACTTCATAGGCGTTTTTGTACTACTTCAGTTTTGGTGTTATAAACCCTTTGTGCATATCCAATTACTTCTTTAATCTTATGTTCAACAACAATTAGTTTGTTCTTAACTTTTCTTTATATATATACCACACCTCTTCCTCTTAACTTCTCTCTAAGTTCCTGACTCTCAATTCGTGAACTTCCTTTAATGTTCTGCCTCTTTTCTCTAACGTTTCTAACGCCGTGTGTGTTCTTTTTTATTATTTTGTAAATCATGTACCTGATGATGACAAAACTTTGTCGAAACATTGTACATTTGCTGTTATGTTAAACTTATATCAAAGTTTTTGTTCATTACCCATTCAAGCCGTCTCCAACCATTACTAATAACATAATGTTTCATCCTCTAAACTAAATTAAAATAATTTAAAAAAAATCTTAAAGCCAGCCCTTATCGTAACTTTGCGCGAAATTCAAAACAAACCAAACGAAACCTAGGGTAAGGAACCCAAGACTGAACACAATATTCCAAATGTGTCCTAACCAGTGACCTGTACAATGAAAGTATAACCTATTTAGACTTATATTCAATATTTCTCTAGATACAACCTAAAATCCTGTTTGCCTTACCACTAGCAACAACACACTGCTTGGATGACTTTAGAGACTGATCGACTATTACACCAAGACTCCTTTCCCTCATAACACTGTTAAAGTTGTTCATATTCAAGTTTTTTCTTTGGTAAGCTTTAACGCATGTTTCAGTTATTACCCGGGAATTATTTTCCAAGTGCAATAATAATGGTTTAAAGTATGATTTTGGAAGAAGAAATCGTATTATTCGTGGCACATGGCATTCAAAAAAGGAAAAACTAAAAATATAGTTTTAAAATAATGTTCTCTTAGTTAAAATATAAGAAAACAGTGCTAATTAACACAATTGGATTAAACTTTCTACCGGTTTTGAATTCTAAACCTATATACATAAGTACTTATTAACCAACAGGTGGCGCAACTAAATACTGGTGGCTATTCAGTAATAATCTGATATTGAGTTTTATAATTATAGTTAATTCGCTATCCAAAAATGGGAGAAAAAATGCAAGCAGTTGATATAAGTAAACTAGGACTAGCACAGTTAACTCAATTAAAACAACAGCTTGATCAGGTAATATATTTCTAACTTGCTTTAGATGCCGAATTGCACAAGCTGCTCTAACACATCAATTTATGACAAATGCTATGTATCTCTTGTGGGAGTATGAACTAAGCCTAACTAGCTATTTTATGGCTTTATGCAATGATTTAACTGTTACTAGTGTAATAGTAAGTACTATAAATTATAATATAGAAACCAGGAATGCTGGAAAGAGGTGCAGTGCACGAATTAGTTAATTATAAACAAGATTACTACACTTATGATAAA